AACAAACAGTATTAGAAAACGTTAAGAGAAATAAAATTACAGGAGTAAACACTGACTTCTCTGAAAAAAAGAAATAAGCAAACACAAGAGGCATATGTATACACATAGATAAATGTGTATACATTTATATATGTACACATACATATGTGTGTATATGTGTATAACATATGTGTATATGTTATGTTAAGATGCCTAATAGGGAAATCCAAATTAATACAACATATGGCAAAGGAAAATCATATTTGTATTAAATTTCAAGTCAATTTTCTACTTTTAGTAGCTCTGGAAAAAAGTCTGGTGTAAGAGGTTGATTCTACTGAGTGAAGTTAGGTTTTCAAATTAAATAGACATGTCATTTATTTCCTTTAGTCTCTATTTTCACTAATAATGAAAAACTAGCCCTCCTAGTCCTGGTTCTGCTAATCCCCAGGATTTACACTTTAAATTCCCAAAGAAGTAAAGGTAAGAAAGTTAGTTCTTGAAGAGCCAGCAGCAACATCTTATTCTCAAGTCTGAACTTCCTATGTGTAGGAATTTGTATACAAATGTTAATTTCCGCTAAAACTGACAAAGAAATATCCATCCATCAAGCAAAAAGCATGATGTTACTGTATGTGATGAAGGCCAAAATTAGCCAAATTGCTGACCAGTGCAAGTTGATTACAAATTTAGAAACCAACAGTCCCTACATGTTCTAAGTTCTTTAAAGAGGAACAGTTCCTAAAGTTCATTTTATCTAGGGCTCTGGCTACCAGAATACATTGTGAAAACAGGTAGTTGTTTTTGAGGAAAATATCATTCACTTTCCTCACTTAGTTAAAACAAAGGATGTTCTTAAGCCAGCAGCGTGATTAGCTGTTACCTTTGCTCTTAACTGAAAATAGGATTTTTGCTTTTCCTTCAAAGTCAAACTCAGAACCCCAACAAAAAAAACAAACAATAAATATGTAGTGGGAGTACCTGCATTTAGTTCCTACTACAATTCTAATTAAATGCTAGATGCTCAACCTGTTATCAGGATTTTGAGTTGAGACTAAACCACAGAAACACATTATGCTAAATACATTATCAAGGAAAGAGGTTCCCCTAGGTTGTCATTAACATTCCCATTTCATAAAATCAAGTATGAAGCTCCCAGCTTCAAAAACTGGTTTCATTCACTTTACCTTGTGTGATTTTTTTTCTTTCTGTCCATATCCTCCAGAATACTTCCTACACTTTCTGAAGAGTAACATGAGGCTGGATGGCAGAGAACTTCTGGCCTCTTGTTCTTGAGCGAGACATTACATTCTGTCAAAGCTAACTATTAATAATGTTTTCAAACCCTGGAAATAGTTGCTGGAATATTTAGAGCCAAAAACTTCCCATAAATTAAACAATACCATTTGCGGGGGGGAGGGGCAGAAATGAAACAATCAAAAAGCACTAAAAAGTGAATAAGGACACGGAGTAAAAGATCTGAACTTCCAGGGCACATTTATAAAAGGGATAATACACAGGCACTTGTTGCTCATTCTCTCCCTTCTAGAGAGAGGAAGGTACTTGGTGTACCACTCTTAACGTCTTAAAAGTGCAAAGCCAAAAGAAATTAATGAAAAGAGCTATCATTAGCTTCATCAAGACCACTCCAGGGTGCTGCTCCCAATTCTGAACTGTGCCTCTCCATCACCATTTATACCTTAATCCAGCAAACATTTGTCAAGCACCAACTATGCTAGGAAATTAGGAAATAAAGTAAAATCTGCAAACAAGTAGGCCCAGATTAACTACTCAGATCAGGGTACATTTCTGGTCTTTGTAACATAGCTATCTTCTTAAAATGATAGAACATGTCTATTAGACCAACAAAATTTTAAATCTTTGGTTTCAGAAGGAAAAAATCCAACTACATCAAGTTCAAATTTCCTCACACACATAACTGTCCCCCAAATCACACAAAAATTTTTTTGCCGTGGGGGGGTATAATTTAGACTTATTTATTTATTTTTTAAAATGAAGGTACTGGAGATGGAACCCAGGACCTCGTGCATGCTAAGCACACACTCTACCACTGAGCTATACCCTCCCCTTGTATAAACTCTTTAAATGAAAAAATTATCCCTGAAATTGCAAGACTAAACACACCTACTGGGAGTGCTCAACACAAAGTTGGTCAATATATGTTTGTAGAATAAAAACTATAAATTGTACCTGGCATAGAAATCCACTCTCTGAGGCACTTATGAACTAGGCTCAAAATCCATCATTTCCATATTTTGCCTTACAGTTAGTTCATTGCTTACCACTTGACCCCTGGTTCTCAAACTTAAATGAGATTTATAATCACTCCACCTGGAAAGTCTGTTTGAAAAGCAAATTCTGTGGCCACTTCCCATACCAAAAAATTACAGTTTCAGAAATTGGATCCTGCAGTTACAATAATTTGTCATTCAAATGCACC